TTTTTTAAATAACTGCTATAGGTGCATCCAGTGTCCCCTGCTTTATGGTGTCTGTGTAGCTCACAGACTTCTGGGAAGAAAAGCAGACAAGGAGAAATGTACAGCATGTATCATTTATTCACTGTCTGCACAGGCTTCACAGAGACACTGCACTGCTCTGCTCTGTGTTCTAGGGTTCCTAAAATGTACAATCCTAAAACACAGTAACTTCTGAAATAGAAGCCAGCCCCCGTCCTCCTCAATGTCAGGCATCTGTCCTCCAGTCCCTCAGCCCCCATCTCTCTGACTACGTCCTATGGCAGAGCTGGCCTGGCATGAAAGGGCAAAATTTGATCCCAGGAGGAAGCTTGGCAGCCACGTGCCCTTTCCTGCTTTGGGGTGGGCTCAAGGGACCTCACCTGAACATGGGACAGCCTGGGGTCTGGTGCCAATATCTCACCTGTCAGAGACTGCAGGTTCCTGGTCAGTCCTGCTCACAGGGCCACTATCTCCAACAACTCGCACACTGTCTAAGAAGGAGCTAAATCTTTCTTTACCTCCATGTGCAGAGCAGCTGATCATCTGTTCCACATATGTGGAGAAGCAGGCCTGACTGATGAGGGCCCTGGCCCAGCTGACAAGGACAAATCTGGTCTCCACTCTCAAAGAAGGGCTAGGGTCACTGAGAGATAGGGAGGCTGAACAGAAATCCTACATGAACCTGGGCCAGGGCTCTCACCGAGGTTGGATGTTCAGACCCAAGGGAAAGATAGTGAATGCTCAAGTGTTCCCAGAGCACTGGGCTGTGGTGACAGGCACCATTATTAACTCACTGTGGCCCAGACAGGCAGCATGGCTCATCTAGAGCTATACATTTTCTGAGGGTCCATGAAGGGTCCAAACTCCCTCTTTGGCATCAGAGTGTGGAAACCACAGGGCCGGACACCACCATGTACAATTAGCCTCCTCTCCTGTCCAGGCAATGCCTGGCTCCCCCAGGGCCTGCAGGCTCCAGCACCAGGCCTGGGCCTCCCTCTGGCCCCACCTGCTAAGCCTCAAAACATGCTTGGCATCCCTAAAGGCAGGCCCGCTCTGTCACAGCTGTGCCAGCTGCACGCCCAGTGGAAGGTGGCCAAGGCCACACCTCCACATGCTACAGGGCTGGCTTGGAGCAACCATCCACTTGCCTGGGGCAAATTTTCTGCCAAATACAGGTGCCTAGTACCCAGGCCCTTCAGAAAACAGCACTAAGGCCTGACATAGGAGCTCAGGACATTTTAAAAGTGGAAGGGCCCTTTATGATTCCTTCATAACCTCCTGCCCCACATTGGTTGTTGGAAAGGGAGGCCCAGAAGGGCATCACCCAGCAGTCAGCAACAAGAGAGAGACCACACGGCCATTATTTGGATGCCTGTATTTGCCCTTCCCCAACTGTTGGACCCCAGGGAGCACTTTCAATGCCTCAAGGATTTGCAAGCTTCTTCATTCGGACAACAGATCACTGATACCACCTGGCCCTCTAAAGAACCTTGGGTCTCCAGTGCCTCCCTTCCAGCCCCAAAACCCTCTGCTCAAGAAATAGAAGCAAAAGAGTCTCTGGAGTTAAAGGAACAAGAGGATCCCCTGCTCATTTTACCTGAAGTCAGGACTTTTCCTTCTCTGAAAGCAAACACTCTTAAGAGGCTGGGCCTCACTTTCAGTAACTCTGTAAGACACCAAGCAGTGGACCTCGACATGAGTCTTCTGCTAATCCTTGTATCCCCCTGCCTCGTCCAGTGACCCAAGTGCTGGGAACAGCAATTCAGGTAAATCCAGAAGGTGACAATAAGGGGAGCTTCCCAGAAAGAAGTGTCCAGGCTTGAAGGGAGGGTGGGACTTCTGGGAGGAAGGGCAAGTGTGAGCCCAGGGAAAGGTAGGATGGCCCTGCAAACCAGCAGGGTATGACACACAGGGCAGTCCTCAGGAGGTGACCATGAGAGACACTCAAGACTGAGCAAGCACAGGGATAGGGAGGAGCTGCAGGTACCACAATGAAGAGATCAATCGAGGCCTGAATGAATTGGGAGCAAGGCTGACAAAGTACTTGCTGTGTGCCGGGTGCCGTGCCCGGCCTGATACTCAATTCCATCCGCATGCACCTCACAGACAAGAATGGTGACTCTCCAGAGCTTGGCACCATCAGAAGTGACACAGCAAGGCACTGAGGGTGTCCAGACTTGCTCTTGAAGCCCAAGCCCAGGTGGAGAAATGACTATTCCTAGACCTCTCGGATAAGAACCACATGGCACCCAGACTCAATCCACTCACCTGTCTCCTAGAAGCTACAGTTGAGGACACAGCACTCAGGACCAAAAACACCTTGTAGCTGACCAAAGTCCAACTAATTCTCTTCCCTACCATACTTGAGGAAGGGGAGAAGGCACAGGATGACTTTTGACAGATGTGGTCCTTATTGAGTGACTAAAACAAAAAAAAAATCACTAGCAAAATGGGCCACTGGGCGTCCTCCCCACCTACAGGCCTAGCCAACACCCAGGCCATGGCGTCAGCAGGACCCAGGCATTCCCTCAGGGAGAAAGGCAGAAGGACCAGCACTGACTTCACTCACCCATACTGCAGACCCTCCTCAGCTGTGGTCATAAACCCACTTGCCTAGGACCAGTTAGCCAGTTTCCTGCCCTCAAAGATCATTTTATGTACAAATGCCGGCAGGAGTATAAGCAACTCCATTTACAGCATAGTTTGTTAGTAACTAAGTCCACTTTAGTTTAAGAAATAAACTTAGAAGAATTAGGTGGTTCACCTCTCTATGAGAGAAAGCCCTCCTTCCCCCGAGAAAATACTGTTTCCTTTAATCTTGGTTTTCTTAAATAGGAATTAATGTTTTCAAATACGACACTGAGCAAAATTAAACAGGTAATAAGAGCCTGTGCTGGCACAGGTGTGAAGAACAGGCACAATGCTGTTAGGTTGCAAACTGGCACAAACTTTTTGGCAGCATCTTCTGAAACTGATGCACATTCCTCTAGACTCTGCTTGGGTCTATGAGCAGAAATCGTATCCTACTTTACAAGGGGAGAGGAGCAGTTGGTCCAAGGCCATGTGGCCAGTATGCAGAGAAGCCAAGAGGTGACATTAAAATAAGTGGATGTGCAAAGAGCACCTACAGAAATGGTTACACCCTCTTCCCAATTCTGCTAGGGACTTGCCCTCCAGATAAACGCCACAAGATTATGCCATGATTCTTCCCTGTGCCAAAAACAACTGTGCCCACTATAGCAAAGAGCTGACAATTGAAAGGCCCCAAACTGAGGACCAGTTGGGTAAGCAAGTCTCTTCTCACAGCAGACACCATTGAAGGAAAGCCCTTAATATAGAAGGGAATTATGGGATCTGCCTAGGAGGGGTTCTTATGCACTCTACGGGAGGGGGAAGACTGCCTGTCTGTTCAGAGGGAGAGCAGTTTAATTGACAGTGCTGAGGAAGGGAGGCAGGGGGAGGGAGGAGCCCTACCATGGGAGACCAGAAATGGGGTGAGGACACACCATATTCTCTTGGCCTTTGGATTTCCTCTGTCATATCCACCTACCTCAAGATGGGGACCCTTTCAGGAGGGGCCACATCCATCCCTCTTGTAGATCCAGTGCCAGTGGAGGCTGGGTTAGAGAAGGTGCCAATACACACTGACAGACAAGTCTCCAGGTCCTTAGGATTACATGTGAGGACCCAACTCCCAGAAGGGCAGTGGTTTACTGGTGACACCCCAGCACCTCACTGCCTAGGCTTTGATTTAAGGATTAACTCACTCTTTCCTCTCCAGTATCATCGGAGGGGGTCCTACTGGTCTCCTCAAGAAGGCAACAGAATCTCTAAAGAGTCCAAGTACCTGTCCAAAGATGGCTGGAAAGAGAGGTGCCAGAAGGTGAGCCCTGTGACCTACAACCAAGACCAGGACAGAGTCTGATGGAGAAGGGGCATATCGTCAAATAAACCAACAGGCTATCTGTCTGACCCCACCTCAGGCTTTTCCAAATATATAAATCTCAGAAAAACCCTTTCAGGGCAGGCAAAGCTGCACCCCCATTTTGCAGAGAGGGAAGCTAAGGATCAGGGAGGTCCTCTGTTCACAGCAACATCACTAGCAAGGAGTGGGGCCTGGGTCCAAATCCTAGTGTGTTCACCCAGAAAGCACTTCCTCCCGACCTCCACCACAAGGTTGGAGAGGATGGGAGACACTGACATCTAAATCATCCCAGAGAATGAATTCCCAGGTCTCTCCTACTGCTGCCTCCTACAAGCCCTCGGCCAACCTGGAGGGTCTAACCTCTCTCCCCACAGAGGGAATTACAGACCATAGTTTCCCTCCAGGAGGAACAGAGACGTCAGTGAGGGGAGGGTCAGGGAGAGAAGGCAGGACAGGAAGTGGGCGAGAGAAGCAAGCCATGCATCCCAGCCGGTGGGAGGGCAATCAAGGCAATGATGAAAACAGAGCGCTGGCCAGAGCGCTGGGACCCTAGCTCGCAGCAAAGGTCAAGTGCCACCCGAGTCCCTGACTTCTTTAGACCTGTATCCTTGCCCCTTCAGGGCCCTCACGGATCGAAACGAAACGAGATGAAAACAGCTGCGCCAAAAGAGGGGAAGTGACTTGTCTGAAGGTGACAGAGCAGTGGCCACCCCAGACTCAGGCTCAGTCTTTCCCAGCAGGTCACTTGCGTCCGTTTTGCCTCAGCTTCTGCCCACCCACCCACACCTACACACAGACACACACCCAGGCCAGCGATGGCCACCGCAGAGCATCAGCCCTTACGAAAAGGACCGCCGAGGCCCGCAGAGGAGCAGGGTGGCTGGAGAGGGAAGCTTGCAGGGCGCCAGGACCCCCGCAGCGGCCGCGGGGCACCGGCCTGCCGACCAAGGCCGAGCTCGAGTACTCGCCCAGTCCTAGAGCCCCACGCCGGGCAGGGTGACCTAGCCCCACAGGCCCCAGCCCCGGCGGGGTTCGCGGGGCGGGGGTGGCGGCTCACCTCTTTGAGCTGCTCCATCTCGCTGCGGATGGCCTCGTAGTCCACCTCGAGCTCCTCGAACTGCAGCTTAAGCTGGTGCTTCTCCTCGAGCACTGCCAGCCCATACTCGGCCGCCTGGATCTTCTCGCGCGTGGTCTCCGCCAGCTCATGCGACAGCCGCTTCACCTCGGCGCGCAGCCACTCCGGCTGCGCCTCCATCACCAGCCGCGCGTACTCTTCCTCCTCAGACGGCGCGGACATGGTGGCCGCGCGCCGAGGCCGGCTCCCACCGAGGCTCCCACAGGCCGGACCCTCCACAGCCGCCTCCACCCCTGCCGCCGCCCAGCCCCGACGGCCGCTCGCGCCGCCGCACTGCTCCTCCCTGCCTCGCGCAGGGCACACTGGGGACTGCAGTCCCGCTGAGCACAGACTACACAGCCCATCGTGCCCCGCGCCCACTCAATCGCGAATGGTGATTGGTTCGCGTTCCGAGGAGGGCAGGCGTTCGACGCCGTCGCGAAGGCATCGCCGCCCCAGGCATTGTGGGGGCTGCAGTCCTGACTTCGCGCCCACTATATCGGCCGTTGTGCCCTGTGCGGGCTCAGCTCCCAGCCATGATTGGCCCGCGCTGTGACATCACGATCAGAGGTTTAGGCGCCTCCCTGAGCCTTAGACTGCACTTGGAGAGTCTAGGAATCCCGCAGCTATGCCCAGAACCTCTGGTCTTAGGCTCCTGGCTTTCGGACGTGCGAGGGGCACAGATGTCCGGACGCCGTGAGTGAGAAACGCACTTTACAGAGTCAATGTACTGCTTGTGACAAAAATCCGGAGACTGTGGGGCGCGTGCTCAGTGCGGGCGTCTTTGGATGGAAATGTGTCTGGCCGCGCAGAAAGGATGCCTGGTGGCAGAGGGCGCTAAGGATCCTGGGGAATCTCAATCTCAGATCAACACCTACTTCTTGTAACACTCCCACGCTCCAATCTTTTAGGATGTGTTTCATAGGAATGAAGACAGTTCTATGAGCGCAGTGTCCTAACCGTGCTTAATACAGTCGCTACCTGGCACCTATTTGCAGATGTGACTTAAATATTTGCAACACTGTACCCTTCACTTTGGACCTAGATAAATGTGATGGTTTCGAGGTAACTCACTTGGTCCTCTTCTCACTATCCCCCAAATCCCACACACCCCACCATAAAACCTAGTGGTCACCACTGGAGTCCTATAAATAATTCATCCTTCCCTCCTATTTTTATTAAACTAGCCAATCCACAATTGTTCCCCCTCCCACGTAAAACCTAAGGGATAATGCCCATAGACATAAAGACATAGTCCTACAGTTCCCCTCTCCTTCCCCTAACCTCCTTGGGAACGGTGAATAACAACATTGTTTCATGCATTCTGATTGCACTTTTTCACTGTGCGAAATGGTGACACACACACCCCAAGAGGATGTCTTGATTTACTGCCACCCTCAAGACCAAATTAGAAAGAAACCATAACCATAGACATCATAACACACAGGACACTGACGCTATGAGCCAAAGCAGAATCCACATTTCAATTGCACGGGAGCCCAACACTGTCCTGTAGAGTTATTTTCCAAGTCAAGGATCCAGTTGCATTTAGTTTTCAGGTTTCTTTAGTCTCCTTCAATCTGACATGACTAACATAGCCTCATGGATAGATTAGGCTGTGCATTTTTAGCAGAACCATCACTGAAGTGTTGCTGAATTTTCAGTCATCATAGAAAGGCACATGCTATCGCTTTGCAACCTCTGATTGCTGCTGATTTTTTCCTTTGTGATCAGTGTCATAGGACAAGACATTTGAAGATCTTGCAAGTGTCTTGTCCCTCCTCAACTTTGACCTACTAGTGTAGCATTAACTTCTTGCCTGAATAGATTGTCAAAATTCAAGATGCTTTTCTATTTTCATCTGTTCTTCATTTATAAGTTACCATTGTCCTGAAAGAAAGCTATTCTTTTCTCGTTCATTCATTAGCAGTATGAGTCTATGGATTCTTCTTTTACTCAGTGGGTTACAATCCACTATTCTTACTTACTTTGCTACTAAAATGGTAGCAGATTTGGCCTTTCCAAGTGTCATTTTTCAGCATTTTCTGGCACAAGTTATTCCAGGATTGGGATCATCTTGTACTCTCTGTATCCCCGACCTGGAATTAGCCATTTCCTGGTGAAGCCTTGATTCTTTTGGCGGTTTATTTGAATAAGGAGAATGTGTCATGTTTTGACTTGTGAAATTCAATGATTTGTAATGAGTTCAGTCATAGTAGGAGTAGTACATGACCAACCAGCCTGGTTGCCTGGGATTGTTCTGGCTGTACACTGAAAGTCCCACATCTGAGGCTCGCACTAAGTGGGAGAGACCAGAGGGAAAAGAAGAAATAAGCTTTGTTCCAACAAGTACACAGGCTCCATAGCACCTGCACCTGATCCAGGCTGGTATGACTGGGGAGTCTCCCCATCTTGCACCTGTTTATGGGGCATGTCTGAGAAGGAAAGGGGAAGGCCATGGGAATCTAGTGCAGACACTGACCAGGGAACTTTGAACTTGGAGACCAGGTGTGGCAGAAAGGACTGGAAAGGCCTAAGATACATTCAGTTACAAACATAAGATCTGTCACTACTATTGTGGGCCTCCTTCCTGCAGGAGGTGAAGTGAAGGCTGTGAGGGAGGAGCCTAGGATCCACAATTTATGACAGACAGGGGTGGGGAAATCAGGAAATGCTTCCTTCAGGAAGGGGCACCTGAGAGAGACCCAGAGAATGCATAGGAATTGGCCAGGCCAAGGCTGTGAGATGATAAGAGAATCACCTTCCTGAGTGTTATTCCTCTCCCCAACTTTATTAATTTCCCTCTGCTGGGTACCATGTGCCGTTGCATTGTGGGTCTCCCCCCTGGAATATCAGTTCTAGGAGGGCAGGGACCTTGACAAGTTCTAGCATCTTCTGACCTACACTGAGGCTCCACCCAGGGTCCCAAGGAATTCAGCCTCACCTAGTACTGCTCCATAGACATGTGCCCCCTCTGGTAGGGAGGCAGGGAATGCACAGAAGGATAGAGGCAGTCCTGGCAGCGAAGGAACAAGGACCAAGTTGTGATGGGCTCTTGGAGGTACCAAGAATGCGTACAGTGACCCCATCTAGGACTGGACCACTGGGCCTGGTGGCAAAGGGGAGTGATCTCCTCAGTTAACCTGCTGTGCCTTTGTAAACTAAGGCTCAAATGTCCTAGCCAAAGCTGACAAGTCCTCATATACACGGAAGCTGTGGCTGGGAACTGACCCATTCACTGCCTCCTGGAGAACTGTACCTGCTCATAAGAGCACTTCCTGGCTGGCCCGAGTGTAAAGCAATCTCACTGCCAGGTGATAGCATCCCTGAATATCCATGCTGTATGACAGCAAAGGGTCTTTGGTTTCCTCTGTGCTATTTCTTGGGGGAGGGGGGTGTACACATTAATGATGGAAGTGCTAAAGACTCCAATATTTTTTTAAGCATTTACCTTGCTCCGAGCCCTATGTCTTGGTAAATATTTGCTGTCTTTCTTAACCCACACGAACATATTACAAAGCAGGTACCACTGTTCTCATTTCATAGATTGTGAAACTGAGGCACAGTGAAGTAAATGACTGTCCAAGGTTTCACAAATTATAAATGAGTCGCCTAGGACCTGAACTCAAGTCTCTGTAACTCCTCATCCCAACTCCCCACCCATCCCTAGCCATCCCTGGGCAGAGCAGACACAGACCCACCCTCAGGGGCTCACACTACAGAGGGGACAGACTTCACCAGTAATGGCTGCGATGATGTAGACGGCATATGCAGGATGCTGGGGACTGTAAGGGGTGGCACAGAGTTGGGGTGCACAGGCTGTCTTAAAGGGTGAGCAAGTGTTTGCCAGGCACAGAAGATGTATCCCAAGAGAAGACCCCCAGCAACACAAAAATGTGAAATTATGGATGAGTGTGGTCAGGGGATGGGTGAATTTGGAGCAGCTGAGTATGAGAGAGAGAGAGAGAGAGGGAGTATGTATTCACATGCATACATCCATCAGGTCAGGAGAAGGAGAGCTGTTAGTGGTGAATTGCACATACCACAATATGTCTATCACCAGTTACCAAGCTGGCATTGACCAGAATCACTTGGCATTGCTAACCAGTTGAGTTCTCTGGTTAGAGAATGGATCCGTGAGACAGTTAGGGGTAAAAGATACTTATTAGGGATCAAGTCCTTAGGAAGGGCAAGAGGAAGCCTCACAATAAGGAATGGAAGAGGCTGGGCTGGGCCACACAGCCTAGGCCAAGCTTCCCAGCCCTACAGAGAGCTGGGTGCCTGCAATGTGGGCTGCATCCAGCTCAGAGCACACAGGTACGGGAACAGCAATGGCTCCCTTTTCGTGAACTATTTTCAAGATTCATCCATGTAGTAGCAAGTATCAGAACTTGCCCCCCATTTGAGGCTAACTACTTTCCCATTGTAGGAATATAGCACATTTTCCTTACTGGTTCATCTGCTGTGGACATACTTTCTTTTTATTGTTTTATTATTCATATGTGCATACAAGGCTTGGGTCATTTCTCCCCCCCCGGCCCCCACCCCCTCCCTTACCACCCCCTCCGCCCCCTCCCTCTCCTCCCACCCTTCAATACCCAGCAGAAACTATTTTTTATTTCTAATTTTTGTAGAGAGAGTATAAACCATAATAGGAAGGAAGGGCTTTTTGCTGGTTGAGATAGATAAGGATAGCTATACAGGGGTTGACTCACATTGATTTCCTGTACATGTGTTTACCTTCTAGGTTAATTCTTTTTGATCTAACCTTTTCTCTAGTTCCTGGTCCCCTTCTCCTATTGGCCTCAGTTGCTTTTAAGGTACCTGCTTTAGTTTGTCTGCGTTAAGGGAACAAAATGCTATAATTTTTTTCTCTATTATTCATATGTGCATACAAGGCTTGGTCATTTCTCCCCCTGCCCCCACCCCCTCCCTTACCACCCACTCCAACCCCCTCCCTCTCCCCCCACCCCCTCAATACCCAGCAGAAACTATTTACCCTTATCTCTAATTTTGTTGTAGAGAGAGTATAAGCCATAACAGGAAGGGACAAGGGTTTTTGCTGGTTGAGATAAGGATAGCTATACAGGGTATTGACTCACATTGATTTCCTGTGCGTGGGTGTGACCTTCTAGGTTAATTCTTTTTGATCTAACTTTTTCTCTAGTTCCTTTTCCTATTGGCCTCAGTTGCTTTAAGGTATCTGCTTTAGTTTCTCTGCGTTAAGGGCAACAAATGCTAGCTAATTT